GAAAAGTTCCCCCTCCCTCCCCCCTCCGTATCAGGACAGGGGGACATGTGACACAACCCTGAAAGGGTCCCCCCGCCCCCCGTCCCCTTTTTGCTGTCCTCGCAAAGACAGACCTCCGTGAGGGGAAGGGAGGGGGGGGAGGGAGGGGGGGCCTCCCCCGGAAACCCCCCCACGCGCGCGATGGGTGAGGGCGAGTTCCCGCTCCGCTCGATGCTCAGCCGTGCCGGGGACAGAAGGGGAAGCGGCGTGAGCTGAATGGCAGAAGCGGCGTCCCTCTTTTCCTCGGTGGGATCTCGGGCATCACCCCCCCCTCGCACGATCTGGCGTTCGTTGCTGGCCGAGCGTGGGAAGAAGCCGGGGGTGGCGCTCACAACGACGACGCGCGCCGCCGTGCACTCCTCAACGCTCCACAGCGGCCGCCCGACGCGGTTGTACAAATAACGCAAATCCCCCCCACTGGAGGACAAAAAGAGAGAATGATGATGCGTGGTATTCGCGGAATCACCTTTGGAAGATAGTCTGGCCGTGAGAAACCGGCAGAGCTCGGTAAGGGTGTGGATATTGGAAAAGGTAAGTCGATGTGGCCTCCGCATGGCAATGTCGTCATTTTCATAAACAATAATGGTAGACTGTGGCGTCATAGCTAAAAGGGGTTGGAAACAACAACTTTTGGGTCTTTTAAAAGAAAGACCTGCCCTAAGAAATCAACATGGTGGCAAATAATAAAAAAGGACAAAAGGAAACTGAATAAAGGACAGCAACTCGTTAAGATTAGCCAGGATTGTACAAAAAAAAAATTGCAAATTAATCGAGGTGAGTTAAAATGATTTGAAACAAACGATTAGTAAAAATAAAATGGACATTCAAGAAAAATGTCTTGTTCAGTAGGAACACTAACGTAAAAATAAATAGACAGCGGGAAATAGTTAGATAAAGTATGAGAAACACCATAAAACATTGAAATATCTTTCGTATATTTTAGAGATAATAATAATAATAGCAATAAGTTAAAGTGAAAATTCTAAATACTAAACTAAATAATCATAGAAGTGGAAAAGCACTACTTCCCAATCTGCATCGCTAATCACAGTTTGCTTTAGAGGGATGGGAGGGCTCATGCAAAGGAGCTTTAGGTTCCTGATCGCTAAAACCTTGTCTACCTTTTACCCATGCGCAATCTTTCTCCCCCTTTCTTAAACTATATCCTTTACTTCAATTTAAATGCCTTTTTTACAGCCCCCATGGAAGGAGAATGCTTTACATTCGTATGCGGCTTGAGAGTTTGGTATAAATTCAACCATCGTTTTATTTCTTTGAATTCTAAATATGCACCATGCCGCTGTAAAAGTTTCAAGGCGTTCTCGTCGGTGAGCTGCTCTTTCGCCTCCACATGCGCAAGGTTTTCTTGAAAAATCAAATGCAATAACACAAAAATGCAGATCATCCGATGGACTTCCCACAACTCCTGGCTGGGGTAGAAGCTCGCGATAAGATGCCAAAAAATTAACAGCACGCGCAGGGTCTCGCAGCCCATCCCCTCCCCTGACTCGTCGAGCAGCCCTCGATAGTACTTTCCTTCTTCGCTGTCGGAATCATTCATGAGTTTGTTGAAAAGAGGATTCTCTCGCACCTCGTCGAGGAGGGGTGAGTAAAAATTCTGTAATCCGCATGGGGTGAAAACCTGCATCACCATTATCAACGCTGGCGCCTTCATGGGGTGGCGGAGAGTCTGAAAAAAAGTCCAAAACTCATCTATAATCCCACTGATGTAATGGGTATATAGATAAAAGACCAGGCGATAAACCCAGCTCGTCGGGAAGACCCTTAAGGTGCGAGCCTTCTCAAGCCTCCCGCTCAACCACCAGGAGAGCGACCTCGCGGAGCATTCTTCGACGAACGGGGCGAGCAGCTCCAGAAGGGTATTAGTTCGCTCGACCCCCCACTCCACGCGGGCCCCGCAATGCCGGCAGCAGGACCCGACGGAAAACGCGGCCTCCTGGGCCATGACCTCGTGTCGCTCGTCCGCGGGGCGGGCGGAGAGGGGGGAGTAGGGGTGGTGGGTGAAGGCCCCGCAGGCCTGGCAGGTGATGAACTCGTGCAGGGCCGTGGCGGGGTCGCAGTCCCGCACGCAGCGCGCGCAGTCGCACCAGAAGCCCCACGCCCGCAGCAGCTCCCGCCGGTGCGCGACGCCGAAGAGGAAGTTCACGTCGTCGAGGTACTTCACCAGCAGGGCGTCGCCTGGGGCGACGTGGTCCACCGCGCGCATCGTCACGACCCCGCGGCTCGCGTCGTACTTCATCGCGAGGTTCGCGCGGCAGCCGTGGTTGGCCAGCGCGCAGCCGCGGAAGAAGCCGGTGTGGAAGCAGTTGTAGCGGCAGCGCAGGGCCATCACCAGGAGCTCGCGGAAGGCGGACTCGGAGGTCGGCCGCAGGTGCGCACGGAGGTGGCCCGAGACCTTCGCCTCCACCTCCTCGCAGACCTCCTCGAGGGCGCGGGGCCAGACCCCGCAGAAGTCCTTCTGCAGGCGACGCCACGCCACGCTCTCCGTCGCCTGCTCGCGCGAGAGCAACATCGCGAAGTGTAGGGCGATCTCCTTCGTGCCGTAGACCGTGTCGGCGAAGATCTCCAGGTCCGCCTCGATCGGGGTGGGGTACTTCTTTTCGATAAAAACAACATCGCCCGGGGAGAAGCTCTGGCGGCTGACTAGCGTGACCCCGCCCATGAAAGGGACGAGCTCGATCCCGGGCGATAACTCGCTCAGCCCGAGCTCATCCTGGAGTTTCTTTTCAATCGACTTGAGCAAAATGTGGTTCATGCTCGCGTTATGGTTGGGGTTGGTTTGAAGGGCACCCCCAGAGTTGGCGGGGTGCCGTTCTTTTTCGGTTTGGGCCTCCGTTTCCATCCGTACAAGCGGCCTCGCGCGGAGTAAGGCGGCAACAAAGGCCTCAAAGGAATAGCCCCCTTGTAGCTTTGCCTCGATAAAGCGGAGGACGGGTTTTATGGCTTCCTCGTTAAACGCCATCGCGATCTCAGCCATCGTCCAACTCTCCTCGAAGTCCTTCAAAACCAAATACGCGTGCGAAAGATTGGAATAAATAATGGATTTGAACTCATCTATGGGGGATGGCGATTTAGGTTTGGAGGAATAATCCCTTGGTTTCCTAGAATAGAGTTCATTCACCGTCTCAATGGGATCTTCTAGAAGATTAAGCGTTTCATTGTAAAGTCTTATAGCACCATACACGTCGCCTTCAGCAAAAAGTTGATTCGCCTTCACCTTTAAAATTTCGGCCTCCTCCATTTTCACAAAAAAAAAATTTATATAAAAATTGAATCACGCTAGAAAAATCTGTGCTTAAATTTAATATATATATATATATATATATATAATAGGTAAATCTGGTAGTTTTGTTTCTTAATGTGTTCTACTCTTTGGATTATATTGAAACGAATAAGTAGGTAACGCTAATGAAAAATTTCTTATTTTTTCCCCTTACGAAGTGAAACCAGGGAATGAAAAGCTGACAACTGGCGTAGAAATAAGAAAGGAAAAAAAATCTGAAGGTGGCTAAAATAAAAAAATGGATTCTCATGAGTATGCATTAAGAGGAAATAAATAACATATTAGAAAAAAATTATTAAGCAACAAGAGTATTATACTCCTTTCTGGAATCATAGGAATGAGATAATTAGTGTTTGCATGGCAATCAAGCGTGTTCGCCTTTTTCTCTCATTTAGACCGCGTCATGTAATACGAAGGAGCAAAAAATTGGAATATATCTTGATGATTGATTCTACCATCCATAAGATCGACCACTAGTTCATGAATAATGGTTACATAATCTATCTGGTGAAACGAAAAAAATGAAAAAAGGATCGATTCCATCCATCGGCGGTAGTTTCTGTATAAATAATGGCTGTAAACCGCAATAGAGCGTGTTATTTGTAAGCTAACAGGAGGAACATTCGGCGGGAGCTCCTTCGTAAAGGGCAACCAAATTGGAATTGGTAAACTTGTTGGATTCGACTCTTCAATCAAAGGAAATACGAAGATACGCGTGGAAAGGGATTCTCTCGATAGATATGGAAAAGAAGACAAATTTTCAGAAATGGTGCGTCCCTCTACTTGGGTTGGTAATTTTCTCCGAAGCAAGTTCACCATCTGATTAAGTCGCTTCGACGTATCTTTTCTTGCTTTTATGAAGACATGTTGGTAAAGGTACTTAATGTAGTACTGCTCGCTAATACTTCCTAGAAAAACCACGCCGTAACTTTGATTAAACAACCACCAATCTTCCCCCTTAGTTTCTTCCGAACACATTGTTTGGTTTAATGAACAGTCCTCACGGCCCGGGCGAAGTTTGTTTCGAGTTAAACGAATCAAAGCGCTTTTCTCTAAATGTTGTTGAAGGACCTGCGCGACGCGGTCTGCACGGTGGGTGAAAAGCTCCCCCTCCTCCGTGGTGACCACTTTGAGGATTCCGGGCAAAATAAACTGGCGCAAGGACGAGGGAGACTCCCACAATCGCGGGGTCTGCCAATCGATCAAGTCCGCCTCCGCTTCCACCAAAACACGATCGATTTGGTCAAAATAAGACTCCGTAGGCGAAGAAGCAGGTGACCCTTGGCGCCGGTCATCCTCTTCGTGGGGATAGATCAAAATTTCCCCCTCTTCCATTTCGTCCTCTTCCGTTTCCTTTTGGTGGGAAAGGACATTCAGTTCCTCGTCGTCCCCCGTTTGGAAGTCCGAGGCTGAAAAACGGAGCGTCATAATCGGCTGCCCCGCGCAAACCCAAGCCTCGAGGGAAGGGGGAGGAGGGGCCTCGAGGAAGCCTTTGAGGGTGTGGTAAAAAAGAGAGGAAGGGGGGGTCTGAAAGGGGGAAGGAAAAAAAGCCTGAAAAGGGTCGGGAAGGGTGTGGAGGA